CATGTTGGGGCTGCACTCCCAAGCAACCCGACTCTTCGGATGCGTCTCGTGGAGTGACGGGTCGTCGCCCGACGGGGGTGTCACCCTCTCTGCCGCCACTTTCCAGTGGACTTAAGGCGGCGCCCGTCACAGAGAACGCTTCCTTTTCAGACTACAATTCGGAGGGCCGGGGGCCCTCGGATTTCAAGCCTGGGCTTTTCCTTGGTCGCTCGCCGCTACCAAAGGAATCACGGTTGTTTTCTTTTCCTCCGCTTAGTAATATGCTTAAATTCAGCGGGTGGTCTCGCCTGACTTGAAGCCATCGTTTGGGGTTTGCCCGGTTCCTCCCCGTCCGACCATTTTTGTACGAGCCCCGTCCGCCTCTCGCCCGTTCTTGTGCGCTACTTTGGAGGGGGAGACCGGGGGTTGCCACGCCCCCGGCTCCCGAACCTTTTCGCGACCGTCTCGGGAGAGAAAAGAGGGACCGAGTGACCGGCCCCCCCACCTGCTGGGAGGTCCGGACGGAGTCCGTTGGCCGGCTGGGTTCGCCGAGCCCAGCGGGGTCGCCGCCCGCCTCATCTCGCTCGTCCCACTCGCGTCCTCCCGGGTGGCGCCCGGGGATCTGCACTGGGGTCGAGAGGAGCGGAGACGGGCTAATGCGGCCCTGCGATTTCAACCGACTGCCCCCCATTTGTGCCCCGGAGCGCACGGGTTGCGACGGCCATCTCGTTTTCCCAGGTACGAGCGATTGTCTCGGAGAAAGGGGGGGGCCGGAGCCCACACCAACCCGAGCGCCCCTTGTCTGCCCCGCATTGCTTTCCCGTCCCGTTTCCCCTGCCGCACTTAGCTGCGTGCGGAGGGGTGGGTTCGGATGCGAGGTTCCACCTGGATGTGTGTGGCGTTCAAGCAGACGTGCCCTCGGCCGAGGCCTCGGGCGCAACATGCGTTCAAAGTTTCGATGATTCACGGAGTTTTGCAATTCGCATTACGTATCGCATTTCGCTGCGTTCTTCATCGAGCCAGGTTCCAAGATATCCATCGTCAGGAGTGGGGTCCCAGTTTTTATTAGGTGCCGGGGCCCGTGGGCGCCCCGCTCAAGGGAGGGTTTTTTGCGACCGGACGGCCAGTTCCGGTTGCGGAGAGGTTTGTATTCCGCCTCTGCCCGCAGCTCCTTGATGCACTGCGAGCGGGACGGTTGGGGGTAGCAAAAGGGTCCCTTTGCCATCACCGCGGGCGCCCCTTCCCGAGCCTTCCTAGAGGAATTCAGAAGGCCGGGCGAGCAAGACCCCGCAGTCACACCGCCGATGCCAAGAGAGACCGAGCACCGGTGGCGGGGGACGCTGGATTGGGAGGAGGAGCGTCGGAAGGAAAGGTGTTCAGAGGATACTCGAGGTCAGGCCCCGGGCTTCCCTCGCTTGCGCTTGGTAGGCCCGAGCTGTTTCCATCAGGGCTGGGGAGTTTTTTTTTTTGTCCGCATGGACGCCCGGTGCCGCCGGGTTGCTGCATTCCCTGGTGTCGAGGCTCGTCACGAACTGGAAGGAAAGAGCTTCGGGTGCCACCCCTCCGCCCAGGCCGACCGTGTCCGCGTCTTGCCTCGCTCCCGATCGCGGCTAGCCTTTCGGGTGGCGGCCCTAATAAGCTCGCTGCGTGAGAGGGGACGGCAACCTGACCTCCTGCGAGAGGAGGTTCGCCCGGTCCCCCCGAGTTGCGAGCAACCCGGAGGACCCGAGGGCGGTCGTTTCGTCACTCGTTCTTAGGGGCGTTTGCCGAGGTCTGGGATCAACCAGGGCGGTGCCCCATGCCTGTCGGGGTGCGCTTTCCGTTCAGCACCACAACGGATCCATCGGTGCTCGGACTTTTTTCGAGCCACCGCACCACGCCAGCTCGCCGATCGCTCGCCAAAACGACCGACGCGCTCGCGGGGCACGGCCTGAGGTGGGGTTCCTGCATTGTTCCGACGGATCCTCCGACAAGGCCACGGGCACGGAGATCCGGCAGCCGGCTGAACGCCGGTCGTCATCCTTCCGTGCCCTCGAGCGTGCTCTGGACGCTCGCCTCCTCCTAGGAGGAACGCGAGAGCCCGCCATCTCTCTCGTCGCCGCTCGCAGCCCGGGCACGGGTGGAACCCGATTCCTTTTTGCGAGCGGGACGCGAGCACGCGCTTTCCCCACCCAGGAGGCCGATGCAACGCGAGCGCCGCACCTGCCGACCCGGGGTTTGGGCTGCGATTGACCCCGCAACCCAAGGGCTCACTGAGTGTGTCAATGATCCTTCCGCAGGTTCACCTACGGAACGGTGAAATCCTGCATCCTCTTCGGGACGAGGAGCGCGGTCTCCCGCGCTCGCCGACTGTATCTTAGGCCTGCTCGGAGGCAGACCCACCGTCGTTCAGTCTGTGAACTGCCCCTTGCCGGTCTCGGGTCCTGGAGGTAGGACCCGGAGACGGGCCCGGGTTGGCTGCGGATCGTCTCACCCGGCCGTGCGTTGTCACCATACCCCGACGCCTTGTCTGCGTCGGGCC